CTTGCCTCTCCACCAGTTCACCCAGTCCACCGCCACCACGGCCACCGCTTCACCCAAAATCCGACGAAGGGCCCCACAACAAACGTGTGAATCTTCCTGCACCACCGGTCTCCGCAACGTTTTCCAAAACCCGCTTGACCGAAGGTAAGCGAATTTGGTGTTCTGGATTATATTGGAATTGAAATAGGTTTGGTTTCATTAACTTTTTGGGTTATTGAATTTGTATGCTCTGATTGTTTTGGAATTTGAGTTTGGATTGGAATTTAATTTTGATTTACAAATTTCTGATAAAACCTCAACAAGAAATTTGGGAACGTGTCTTTTTCGGTTTCTTTCTTCTGATTTTTTGGATTTTCATCTGGGTTATTTTCTGAACATGCTCCATTTATTTTACGCTTGTTTTCGTATACCCTGCAGGCTGCAGCAGTCAAATAAATAACCTTACAGAACCAGATGCCACTGAAATGGCGAGTGGCATATATGTTTGTTTCTATGTTTTCAAATCTGGGTTTTAGATATTTTCTTTGTTTTGGTTAATAATGGAATTTTGGCTCCCAATTTCTTTAAACTTTAGAATTTTTTTTTTCTATTATTTAGTGTGAGAATATGGGTCCAAGATTGGATTCTTCCAATTTCTGGGCAGGGAAAACAGGGTGGTGACGGTAGAGAATTCCAACTTCTTTGTGGTGGAAATCATAGTTTCATTCTAGATTTTCTTTTGGGTTTATGAAATGAGTTGGAATGATGTCTCATGATTATGTGAATGTTTTTTAATTTAGTTGTGAACCTAATAATCTAATCGTGTCTCGTGATTATGTCAATATTAATAAATTTAGGTGTGAACCAGAACCTGGATATCAACCAAGGACTGACTGCGGGAGGGTTCAGGTTTTCCGACGTGATTGTTAATTTCTGTAATTTAATTATTTTGAGTTCCTATTTTTTATAATTCTGTTTTTGTAGGAATTATTGTTAATTGTTATGTTGAATTTCAGGCACGAAGCTAGGAGAGAGTTTTCGTCTGCACCAATAAGTAAAAGATTCGATATTTTCACTCTGGAGACTCTGGATAGCATCTGTGTAGCCATTATAGGGTTCATAAAAGAGCAGAACACTATCTAAAACGGGATTCCTTCTGAGGTAGTACTCCATGTTTGCTAATATTGCTCTTCTTTACTGATTTCGGTTGACATTGTGAATGTACTTTACTTTTGAATGTTTTTCGGTACAAATTTAGTTTCGAATTTTGGGTTCGCTTGGATATGATGCATTTGAGAGTTTTGGGGAATCACAAATCTTGGAGGTATTGAGTTTTGGGAACCGTCTTTTAATTCAGATTCATATTGGGATATGGATGCTGTGAACAGTCAATTGGTGGTAACTTAGTATATTACCTATGAAAATTGGCATTAAGTATAATTATGGAAAATGCGAAATTACCTTTTTGTTGCTGTGAACTAGGAATAACAAAAACAATTAGATTGTATAAGATTATACTTGTGGCATTCTCCGCAGCGGAGCACAAGCGTTTTTGCTAGTTTAATCTAAGCTAAAACCTAAAACACTCTGAAACACTGTTCATAAGCACAGTATTCTTCCTGTTTTACCCCTGTTAAGTTTGCATTATTATGTTTTTACACGGACAAAAATGCCCCTTACTCATCTCTTTCCTCCTGATTTCTTCCTGCCTGGCCGTCGTCTTGTTTTCCAATTAAAAATCTTGTGCAACTTCTCCTCACCAAGCAGCCACTCTGCTGCAGATCTTTCAAGTTGAAGTTCCTTTCCTTCAACCTTTGTATATTGGATTTCACATCAACAACATCTCCCTATAGCCTAGGAGCTTTGTTCGGATTCAAGCTTTCCGACGGTAATTGGACGATTCCTCCGACGCACACCATCAAGGTTAGTCTGAAACAATTCCTACCTTATTAACCTATTGCATGTCAAAATCGGCTTCAAATTTGTGATTTAATATAATTGGGCTTTTGAAAAAAAATTCATGATTTTGTCTAATCCAATTTAACAGTTAGAAATTTCGCCTGGGGACTGCAATTTCATCTGCTCCAAACAAATAGATTCTTTTTATTCTGAATTTAGAAAATTATATTCGAATTTGTTTTACATCTGATTCAGTTGGATTTAGGGGTTGTTCTTTAGTGTTTCCTAGCCTGAGTTGTATATAAAGAAAAAAGAGTGATTTTTTGTATCGTAAAGAGTTCATCAGGATCATAGACACGAGTCTGATATTATCAAGTAAGATGCCGAGTCCTCATGCATTCATATAATTACATTTGTGAGCTGTTTTTCTGGGGTTTTGTTGATTTTGGTTGTTTATTTGTTATATACAAGAAGAGTGACAACGCCAAGAACATTATCAATCTATACATGAAAAACATAACACTTGGGCCAATCTAACCATTTATTTTGAGCACATCATAAAACATATGACAACGGGGTTTTTTCAAGTCAATTTTTTGTTGGCATGTTGTTGATCATGTAAGTGTTGATTGATAAATGCTAGTGCTTTTGGCATTTTATGACAAAGAAGAAGAAGAATAGTATGTATACTATAACATTATGAGTTTGATAACTGAGACATGTGAATTGTATGGAGGTAAGCAACAATTATGTCATTTTTATTTTTTTTTTGCTAAAAAGATTGTGTGACTTTTTGATATATTGTTCATTACAAAACAAGGAAGAATAGGAAGAAAATGATATGATCTCTAACTATTCGACTTTGTTATAAGCAATATTGTTTGGTGAAATAATTGTGTTAAGATATTGGAGAAAATTAAAAATATTTAAAATTAATTTTGAGGTGTTTCTCATTCTCCAGGTGAAATCCGGATATCAAATCTCAAGATCAATGGTGCCACAAAGTGGCATATGAAGCAAGGCTCTTGTTAAAATTAAAATTCCTTCAGGACGGTTCAGTTTCTGCTTTAAACCATCCCTCCATATTCGAATCTCACCAACCGAGCGTTGGCGCCTCCCTCAAAATGCTTCGAAGCTTTCAAAACCCCAATCTCTACTCCATTTCCAAAACCCACATCAAACTCCTGCATTACTTCTTATCCAATCACTTATGCACCACAACAGAGCCAACCCAAGTCCCCGAGTCACCTGACCTTCCGAACTGGGTTAAATTCTTGGACACCAAGCACCCAGAAGCCGCAGGTTTAGACGAAGATTTTATCATCCCTTCACTTGCCAATTGGGTCGAAGCCCCAATGCTCAAAGACCCCAAAAAAGCCGTCAAGCTCCCAGTTGTCGAGATCGCGGATACCGACATAGACATAATTAGTAGAGTTTTGAAAAACCAGCACCCGTCGCTGGAAAATGTAGCTCAAGCTTTAAGTGGGATTGTTTTGGATTTGTCAAACGGTTTGGTGGAACGGGTTTTGAGGAGGTTTAGCAATGAATGGGTTCCGGCTTTCGGGTTTTTCACTTGGGCAAAAATGCAAACAGGTTATAGGCATGCGCCGGAGGTGTACAATTTTATGGTTGACATCTTGGGGAAAGCCGAGAAGTTTGACATTATGTGGGATTTGGTTATAGAAATGGACAAAATTGGAGAAAGGTATGTTAGTTTGGATACGATGAGTAAGGTGATGAGGAGGCTTGCTAGGGCTGGTAGGTACAAGGAGGCAATCGATGCATTTCGAGGAATCGAGCAATTTGGAGTGAGCAAAGATGTGTTGTCTCTAAACGCTCTGATGGGTGCATTGGTGAAGGAGCGAAGCGTTGAGCTTGCCCACGAAATTTTCTTGGAGTTTAAGGAATCCATACCTTTGAATGTTAGTACTTTCAATGTTTTGATACATGGGTGGTGCAAATATAGGAACTTGGACATTGCTAGGAAGACAATGGAGGAGATGGAGAAGCACAGGTTTAAACCTGATGTTTTCTCGTATACCTCTTTGATTGAAGCTTATTGTAACGACAAAGATTTTCGCAAAGTTGCCGAAGTTCTTGGGGAGATGAAGGACAAGGGTTGTGAGCCAAATGCCGTGACTTATACCATCATAATGCATGCTTTAGGGAAGGCAAGGGAGATAACTAAGGCTTTGGATATTTACGAGAAGATGAAAATGAGTGGCTGTATTGCGGATACTTCATTTTACAGCTCGTTGATTTTCCTCCTTGGTAAAGCCGGTAGGCTTAAGGATGTTCAGGAAATAGTTGAGGACATGGAAAAGCAAGGTATAAAGCTGGACGTTTTGGCATATAATACCTTGATTAACATAGCATCTACGCATTCACAGGAAGAGGCTGCTCTCAAATGGCTCAAGAAAATGGAGGAGGATTTGTGCAAGCCGGATCTCAAGACCTATGCTCCGCTGTTGAAGTTGTTCTGCAGAAAGAAAAAGATGAGGGTGCCCTGCTTTTTGTTAGATCACATGTTTAAGAATGACATTGGCATTGAAGGTGGAACTTATGCACTCTTGGTACGCGGGCTGTGTATGAATGGTAAACTTGCAACCGCTTGCTCCTTCTTTGAGGAGATGGTATTGAAGGGTTTTTCTCCGAAGGACAGCACATACAGTATGTTGATAAAGGAATTGGAGGGTAAGAGTATGCAGAAAGAGAAGAAACATGTTGAGAGGTTGATGTTGCAGGCAAGAGGGCAAGACATAATAGGCAACGATTCTGCAGTGTCTACTGTTGAAGAGAGTAATGCACAAGGGGCATGTGTTTCTGTGATGTAAGCAATTAAATGGCCCGGACGTGCCCTCAAGAATTTAAGTGAACGTAACAGGTTGTTCTGAGCCACTTAAAAGACAATGTATTCAGACTTCATTTAGAGCTTAGGGGTAGCAGAGATGTATTTATTTGGTGTAAGCAATTTAGAGCATTTTGTTGTGCAAAGTTTGTCTTGTGATTTTCTACTCAATTAATCTTAAAACCGTGTTTGGTGAGAATTTCCTTGTAATTTCCCCATAAAATTGAACAAAAAAAAAAGAAAAAGAATAAGAAAATTGGAGAGAGATCCGCTCTGAACTTGTATCCATCAATTTAATTGCCATTACTGTCATCCATGTTTGCATACATAACAAGAATAATCCAATGATTTGATTTCCTTTGCTACATAATTACAAAATTAAACTGCTTTTCAGGCTGTTAAAAAATTAAAAAGTAGAGAACTTTTCTTCAAAGATTGGAGCTTCGTGATTTGTCTGAGAAGTTGACGCATGAATGGTTCAACCGACCACCGACGAGAAGGAATGGACACACTTAACGACGATAAATCTCACAAGTACGGTCTGGCTTTCCGGGATAATAGTGAAGTTGAGGGAGTACGTGAGGCTAATCTCTTGCTTCTCGGCTTCTGCCATCCTAACCTCTCCAGAAAGTCTTCGATCAACCTACACTTTCGAAGTAGAACAAATTAGAGATCCCAAGCAATTGAGGACCGAAAAACCAATGCTAGTTACAAGTGAACTCACATGCTGCAGATGGACTTCTGTGTAGATGCAAGCTCGCGGTCTGGAAATGATTCCTCCAATCGGAAACTCAACCAAACGTATAGATCCAAAACCTTCAATTTTGGCACCAACAGAAAACTTATCAAAAGCTCGCCTCACAGAAAACTTATATCTTTTGGTTCCGAGTCTTACTATTGAACAAATGATTACCACAACTAAATCTTACGGGCTACAATTTAGTAACTTCCATCGACTGGGGGTGAACATTCCACTGGTGAAATTTGGAAATTAAAACCCCATTTGTCTCACAATTGGCAATCTAAACAAACTATATTACCTTGTGAATGGATTCAAGCTCCTTGAGTGCAGCTTCCGTTTTTGGTACCTTAAGTGATCCTGGCGTGAATATTTCACGGAGCCGAACAATGCCCTTTTGTGCATAATTTTGTGCAAACTATAAAAGGACAAAACGGTTATAATGGTTTCCGATAAAGAAACAAACATTCACAACACTCGTGAACAGTATTACAATGTTACCTGCGTCAGACCCTGGGATGAAATTTCGTCATCCATGTCAACTGGGCTGCAAATCACAATGATGAATAATCTGAATCCGAAAAAGTTACAGAAATCTACCAACCATGCATGGCGAACTAAATTTTACAAAGGCAAACTCGGGCAAAAGTTTTTACCTTATGCAGAAAAGGTACTTATCATGCAACCCAAGAGGCAACGCATCGATAACAGCAGCAACTTTCTGATCAAAGTCAAGGTGGAAGCAACAGAGGGAGAAAAAAAAAATACCAAAGTCAGTTGTCGTACATGATTGTCAAGAAGAAATATAGCATTGAGGTTGACAGGCATACCAATACTTCTTCACAGTCAGCAATAAAATAATTGTCCGATAATTTGGCATTCTCTAAAAAATGTTCCTGTCAACACGTAGGAGAAGAAAATGATATGTATATGTGTGTGTAGATATATATATGTAACAAGAGGATTAAAATTCAGTTAAATGGACCGTCAAACAATCAAATTAATTCTTCATTAGATGATAATTTTAGTTTTGGTTGAAGTTGTCATAGACTCATAGCAAACACAAAATGAGTAGTTTTGGATTCAACTCAACATGTATCACCTAAAAAGTTCAGATCCACTTAGATAGACTGCACCATTCTGAAATCATCTATATCTTTGGGTTCAATGAGCAGCCAGAACCAAATTGCTATCGGTGTGACGCACAACTGAAATTTAATCACTGAATAGCTCTATAATTTCCCATGTGCCTCACCCACCGCCACTGAGCCCCCGTTGGTTGTATGCAAACATTTAAAGATAGAACATACGACAATATAGAAATGATCAAATGAAACCAACCAGAATTTGGTAGAGGCCGCATTCTGGGTGTAAACGTGAATACATATACATAAGATCAAAGGTAGGAAATAATCCGGCACTCTGCATTATAACAACAGCACCCAATTAGAAGACAAGTAACACCATACTAAACCACAAACTGACATCCAGAAGTGGATGCAATGAACATTTTCATTATAGTATAATCACCTCAAGAGTCGGAGATGGGGATTCTAGCGATGAATGAAGCAAGGACAAATCATCTGCATTTAAACAAGTCACTTCACCAACAGGAAATTTTGATCCATACCTGCCGGCTCTTCCTGCAATAAAAACCATGTCCGTCCTTATATACGGAATCCATCATTTCAAGGTAAGAGAATAACAAGTTACCATTGCGCCAAATAACTATAAGTTAGTGCACATTACAATGTTTACGGCATAACACACAACAGCAACTTTATGAACTACAGATACACCTCAATGAAATGGAAAGCTATCATTTTAGTTCTTATTATTAGGCTAAGGTATCCTCCCACTTATGAAGTATTTCTGGCGATAGCTAAGAGAGAGACAGTAAGGTGTTCGAGCAAATCAGGGAATCTTAAATGCAGGGGAAATGAATGATGCGCGGACCTCATGAGTCGACTTAAAAAGATAAGGAGAGAGTAAAGTAGCACTCAAGCTCCATTATCTCTTTTAATGACAATCTACTTCCAAATAGGCTCCTAGCACTAGCATCAGGGTAAAATTCGAATATCAGCTATATACTTAAAAGTCTAACGTATATGCAGCATAACTTAGCCAAAGAAAAGAGTACCTGCAATTTGTTTGACCTCCGGTACAGTGAGCTCCCGCATCTCAAAACCATCAAATTTCATCATTGTTGAGAATATGATCCGTGAAATGTTCAGATTAAGACCCATCCCGATGGCATCACTAGCCACGAGAACATCAAACTCACTGCTTGCATCATTAAACATGGTTGCCTGCAGTCCTAAAGGGTGTATTAACTCAGAAAATGTGGTGATCACAAAAGGTTGAAACTATAAAACAATAATCACGAGCACGACCACAAATCCACAACTCGGTAGAAATCTGCATTTTACTTTTTCACATACAAATGAGTGTAGCATGACAGTAAACAACTTCTGACTAAAGGAAAACCAATTGCAGCATGGCAAGATGAGCTTTAAATACAAAGGAAGGAACTAATACCTGTCTTGTTCGAGTCTCCGGTGGAAGCGAACCATAAACAACCGAACAAAGATGTTTTCCCACAGTTTCAATTTCTTTCTAGCAATACGATAGACGATACAAATTCACTTTGAGAAGTTAGTACAAAATAATATAGACAGTAAATAGAATCAAGGAAGAAAAAGAGCATCAACAGAAGTTGAAACAGCGTCAGAACTAAAACATCAAAATGATTTCCTTTCTGCAAGCCGAGAAATAAAATTGAATGTTAATATATCAGGGACGTGTGATCTGTTCAGACTATTGGGTTGACACTCTTGAGATTAGAATGGTGCTTTATCAACCAATGACCATTTTGAACTCAAGATTGTCCTTCAAGTCCCAATTTCTTTCAAGTGTCTCTCTTCCCAGCCCCATCTCCCATGTAACTCAAAGTAGAGAATCTTCTCACTATCAAGATTCAGAAAAGCTTATTCTGAGATCAATTTTCCTCATCCAACCAACATACATAAGTCATGCGTCTCGTACAAATATACCCAGTCAATCAGTCTTACAAAATCTATCCTTTAGGTTAACCCAGCCTGTTAGAAACTTGGATGTTACAACTTTTTCCCCCCTCCAGCGAAGATCTTATAAGTTATATCTGATCTAAGTTCTAGGAGCTCTTCTTATCTACCTAAATATGGCTTATGGATGAAGCATACCTAGAAAGTTTAAAAGCTCATACCATATTCATACCGTAAGAAAATGGACCTCTGGGAAAAATGTTGAAAAGATATCTTGATAAACATAAACCGCACACACATGCACCTATATATATCATGGAATACCAAAACAAATACAAGAAACTGCCAATCACTACCTTTAATTTGTATATTTTGTGGCGTGAAAAGGTTACAATGCAGTCGCCTGTCCTTATATTAGAAAAAGAACCGAGAGGAACCTTCATTGGAACAAGAGGCGAAAGTCTCTCATAGAAGTGAACCTAAAGCAAAGCCACAAACAAGTACACTATGAGGAACAAAGAGAATAACATGAGACACAAAAAGCAGATCGGCATAGCAATACTGAATGCATAAGACTCATAAAAGCACTTAACCAATACAATATCATCTAAAGTCAAAACATGAAAATTTCAGATAAATAAATTATGTTCACCCAATCCTTTGTTGAATAATCTAAGGAAAACATGTAGACATTCTCAAAATTTCTCGGAATAACATTCAGATTCTTTTGTTCCCTTACTCTTATGCATACAACCGAATTTTATAAGCGGAAACCAGAAACCAGAATAAATAATATTTGGGATCAGTAAATACAGTAGTTATATTACTTATATATGAATCAAAGTGAAATGAACTTAGATATGGATACAATTTGGGATCAGTAAATACTAAATATATAAAACTTAATTAATAGTTCAAATGTATAAACTCCATGCACAAAGAAAAAAAATCAGTAACAGAGAATTATTTAGAATCCTTAGCACTCTAGTCCAAGAATAACTAAATTACTAAACAAGAAAAACCTTGAGCCAATCTAGCTACAAAAATATCCTATTACCTCAACATGATCACCAGTTACTTTTAATATTTCCTGAATAAGAGGAACAGAAGCTGGATCTCCACAAAGGTGAAGTTCATCGGCAGATATTCCTAATAGAGCTCGTGTAAAGGAAAAGCCCCTCGTCTTACAACTCAACATCTGGTCCAAAAGAAGGAAAATTAACTTAATAATATACATAAAGCAATGTTCAGGACAATAGTATTTCGCTATGTGGCAGAATGCATGTTGACTTGCAACCATAAGAAAAATCAGCTACATCAACACAGACCTCTATTAGATGGTAGTATTTCGCTATGTTCAGGACAATAGTATTTTTCACTAGTCCTTATACCTCAATAATTATGCATTTCCAGTTTTCCACTAAACACGACAATCTCAATTTGAACAACACAGACTGATCTTTAAAATCTTCTGATATATGGTAGGAAGCAAATCCCTAGAGTCCACATAAATAAAACCAACTTGCCTGAATTTCATCAACAATGGCACAATGGTAGCTGGAAGTTACATCAGCCATTTCAACTGTCACAGCCTTGTGTTTTGCACCATCAACCTCGTCTCTCTCTTGTCCTGTAATAAGATCACAAGGAACTTTTGCCTTGTTCAACCGTTGTGCAACCTCCCAAGCCAACAATCTCAGAGGACCACAGTATATTCCTGTAGGGAAGGAAAAACACTGAACTATGTTCACGGGTGTGTTTGCATTATTATAGCAGTTTCCAATTAATAACTAGGTAAACTATATAATCAATACACTGCAAGTTTAGCACTCACAACATACCAGATGGACTTGATTCCAGTCGCTTCAGAGCATTGTACGTCTTACCACTATTCGTGGGACCCATGTGCAGGATAACCTTGCGCTGCTTACTTCGAGCTTTTGGATACCAAGTATGAGGAGAACTGGAATATGACCATATTCAATTATGAGGATAAAACTAAAGGATGTTAGATATGCATGAAAGTAAATTTAACAATAAAAATAGAATACAAAGGGGAAAATGATTCATCGTTGGATCCTAAATTATAGGCTTTGAGCTACAGCTGTATGTAAACTCAAGCATTGCCTCCATATATCCACATAATGTACAAAATGATGGACCCAAAATTACAGAGATCCACTAAAAGATTGCGAAATCACACTATATAAAGTCCTAAAATTTTCATCCCACATACTACAAACTACATTATTAAACAATGACTGTTTAAAGTAGCCAAATTAATCTACAAAATCTAAAAGAAAAATATTTCTAAGGTGAAAACACAAAAGAAATAGAAAAAAGAGCAACTCGTCTAGAAGAATAGAACACTACGCAAGAGAATTGGAAATTGGTAGTTATACTTTGATTCTTACAAGTCTTACACAATTTACAATTGCATATCCAAGGAAAAACTAGTTTCAATCTTCAATAGTTGTGGGAACAAATTTCTTACGTCAGGTCAGTAAAATCAAACTGCGTTGTACCACTGGAGCTGCTATACTGTTTTGTTTTATCAACAACATTAATCAAAGCCGCGACCTTCAATTCCAAGTGCAGACAAGAGGGCCGCACATTACCTGCTAGACTTGTGGAATTAGAACAATAAGAAACAACATGAAACATCAAACTAGTTGCTGTGACCGTCAGATGATTGACTCAAAAATAAGTCCATCCAGAACTTTTGCTAAAATAAGCAAATACCAAGAAGTCATAATATTCTGTACAGATACTATTGTAAAAACATGTTGGCTATAACAGCTACCGACATTGAAAAATCTGGATCACGAACATTTTTGGTCTATTGAAAAGGTAAACAACAGCTATCTCTCTTTCTCTTCAACTCTCCCCACTCTTTAGGAGAGAAAGAGAAGTACGGCATATGAGAAAGTGAGGTTCTGACCTTGTTTCTCTCAATCCAAACAAGGATTGCACACACCTCTATCAATGGTAAAAAGATAAAATCGGACTTAAAAGCAATATCTGAACCTATTAGTATAAGCCATATGATTGAACTTGATTTTAACATTTCACTTTCCCTCGTTGCTTAACAAAGTTGGTAAAGCAAAACTGCTAAAGTTTCCAGTAAGTAACCCACACGAGAATTGGAAACATTTGGAAGTATTGACATGTGAAACAAACTACAAATGGTAAATGATGTATCCCTCCTATTGCAAACTATGAAAGTATATTATTGGTACAATTAACATGATCAGATCACCAAGTCACATGGTTTCATTAGCCTCATGAATGCAGGGGTTAGAAATTTCTCAAATTACTCGAATGAAGCGTTTAAAAATTAGAACCTTTTTCTAGGCTAACATATCTCAATTCAGATTGAATGCTGAATGCAAAGTTCAATACTTGTGGTCAGTTTAATCCCACTACAATCAAATTTCTTAACTTTTATTTATCCTAAAAGAAGAACATGTCAAAACCGTGGAAAACAAGAGAAAACAACAACTTCTTATAGCTTACCTTTTGCCCACCATTTTCTCAGCAGCCAAACACCTTATATGTGCAAAACCAACAAACTGAAACAAACAATAATAACATATTCTTGCAAAAAAAAAGGTGGGTTTGGAAGAACATGCCCTGGAGAGTGCGAGAAACGCCCACAGATGAAATTCTTCGGGAGAGTATCAACGATGCCGCCATTTTTTCCGGGTTGAGAATTGAGATTCTTGCCAAAACAAAAGAAACTGATGCCAAAAACGCTTCTGTTATTGCTGCTGTTGTTGCGCTTGTGAGAATTGTCAAACAAAAACTAGAAGAGAAGCAACAATAGAAAAAGTCATGATTTGGTTCTTGTCTCTCGAACACTCAAGGTGCCAAAACTCATATTTCGGGTTCGCTGCGGGACTTGGTTGTACTCACACAACTCTCCGTTTTGGACCTAAGTTACAAATTTGTATTAGAATTGGCTATTAAATTACTAACGCTACAAACCCTTATTGTCATTGATGATGATTGGAATTTGGAGGTGTACCCAATGATGGAAAGAGATCCGTCCTCCAAAGCTCAAGGATCAAGTAATTCAGATCCTTAAAATTTGATCTAATAAAAGTTTTTACTAACTTATCTATTTTTAGCTATTGGATCAAAAATTTCAAGCATCCCTTTGGACATCTAGGGTTAGGCACAATTCGATTTAGATAATGAATTAAATGATCTATTTAAGGTATAATTAAGAAGGTTATGGTTGTTTACGGCAATATTTTTAAGCTTTGAAAAATCAAATTTTGTCACTTAATTTCTCAAAATTCAAGGTATGTCTCACTTACTTCTATTATCTAAGTTCGTTAAAACTATTTACAAAGCACAAGTAGGATCCATTGTCGTTAAGATGTGCATCACATTTCTTCGAAAAAAAAAAAATTGTCAAGAGTTTTTTTTCTTCTTATTTTGCAAGAGAATTTTCATTTTTTTTATTTTTTATTTTTTTTACCAGCCATTCACATCGTTAGCGCCATTCGGTGTATATCGTGTGCCCGTACTTCGCTTATAATATCACCCGTCTAATTTCAATCAAATGACATAAACAACCCCCGAAAATCCCTCCCCAATTTTGCAAACGCACAAAGCCTTAAACTTCATACCCAACGATCCAACATGGGCCAAATGGCAAAGATATGAAGGGGCTTGGATATATTGGACACCCACTAAACGATCTTCTAAATGCACCCAATTGTTTACTGTATCTAGAACTCAATGTCAATATACGTGAAGACATGTAGCTCTAGTGGTGGTGAGCATTTGCCCAACTCCTCCTCTTACCTCCCTTGTCAGTTGTCGTAAAATAAACAGAACAAATCGGATGCTCTCGGAGTGACAATTGACGAGAGCATTATAAGGTGGGGAGCAGAACTTTCCGGCCACCGGCCAATTTCTTTCTCTTCTTTCCAGTTTTTTAATTAACGGAAGAAGTACATTTAAGGGAAATTTGAAAATTTAAGAAGAATAAAAATTTTGGGCATTGAGGGTAATGATCAAATCCTTGAGTACACAAGGAAATCCCTGGAAAAAGGATGAACAAACTGGCCCATTACTTAGTCGACTGGTTTGCAGAGAGAGTCCACTTCATCTCCAGGTGGGCTGCAAGAGTCCACATTCCACCCCATTGGCAATGAGCTCATTTCTTTGGTTTTGTAGTATCTTTAGGTACCCCGGCCGGTGTATCGTTCGTTAAGAGAAATTATTTTTGCACCCTCATGTTTATTTATTTTTTATTTTTTCACTTAATTCTCATTTAAAGGCCATAAGTAAACTAGGAGGGGTAGAAGATAAAAATGTGTGCACAGAAATCACTTTTCCTTTGTTAATGTGCCTTTGGGTAAAACTTAAGGGTGATTTGGGAGTGAGGTGCTTAAAAAAAAATCACCCATGAAAAAAAGCTGCGAGGGTTTAGGTGTTTGATAAACTGAAAAAAAAGGGCTTATTTTGGAAGCTGTTGTGAGAATAAGCTGAAATCAAAGGAAAAAGCTGAAGCTGCTATTTGCAACTTTGGAAAACTGGTTTTGTTTTCAAAACACACGGAGCTACAGTGCTCCTTTAATGAAAAGACCCACTATCAAATTGCTTTTTTTTTTTTTTCCAAAAGCACTTTTACAAAAAAGTTTACCAAACACTCTGCTGATTTATTTCATAGCCGCTTATTCTCACAACAGTTTTTTTTCAAAGCACAACAATACCAAACCAGCCATTAGGGGTGGTTTGGGAGTGAGGTGCTTAAAAAAAAACTGTGAGGGTTTTAGGTGTTTGGTAAACTGAAAAAAAAAAGCTTATTTTGAAAGCTGTTGTGAGAATAAGCTGAAATCAAAGGAAACAGCTGAAGCTGCTATTTGTAGCTTTGGAAAACTGGCTTTTTTTCAAAGCACACGGAGCTACAGTGCTCCTTTAATGAAAAGACCCACTATCAGACTGCTTTTTTTTCCAAAAGCACTTTTACAAAAAAGTTTATCAAACACTCTGCTGATTTATTTCACAGCTGTTTATTCTCACAGCACAGCCGCTTATTCTCACATCAACTTTTTTTCAAAGCACAGCAATACCAAACCAGCCCTTAGTCTCATGTGTTGTGCCGGCATGTGTTGTCGCAATTACAGGACCATCCTAGTGTTCCATGTTTCTACGTCAACCATAACAAATATTTAATTTACTTTTAAATCAAAATATTTTTTTTGCCAAATTATACCATAAATGAAACATGCCCCCCCCCCCTCTCCTCTCCACAGGACCATATATATAATTATATGTAGGGCTTTTATCACAAATGGTTTTTTAAGTTTTGACAAATCATCAGTTTGGTTATCTATGTTTTAAACTCATCAATTCCGTCATTTATCTTTGAGAAAACATATCAATTTTGTCCTTGCCGTTAGATTTTGTTAAAAAATATAGGAGAAATTAGGTTATCATCCCTCTTTTTGCTATTCCATTGATTAAAAACATTAGTCCTTTTCAATTTTTGATCAAGGTCCTTAGGTTTTAATAAACGTCATTAATTATTTTAATAATAAAATATTTTTTTATTTCTAAATATATTCATTTAGTTTTAGAAATGTTACATTCGAGATATTTATATTTATGGCTAATTTTTTTTTTCATATATTTTGTTTGTACCATACTTGACCAATCCCGAAACTACTGAGCACTGGTCAACGTTATACCGTTAAGGACCCAGAAAAGTTTCCCTCTAACCAAGAGGCCAATCACAGCGCGACACGTGTCGACATCAGAAGACAATCATAGCGCAACACGTGTCAACATCAGAAGCCAATCACAATACGACACGTGTCAATGTCAGAATGAAACTAGAAACTCTCTTTTATAAATAAAGATAATTCTCTCACAATATTTCCTAATGTCATTTGTACTAAATCATTCACTAGTACTCACTAAATGAGAGCTTGAACTTATGTACTTGTGTAAACCCTTCACAATTAATGAGAACTCCTTTACTCCATGGACGTAGCCAATCTGGGTGAACCACGTACATCTTGTGTTTGCTTCCCTGTCTCTATCATTTACATACTTATCCACACTGACTGGAGCAATCTAGCGAAGGTCACAAACTTAACACTTTCTGTTGTACCAAAGTCCTTGCTAATTTTGTGCATCAACATTTGCGCCGTCTATGGGAATGACACTTACTCCCACTCTCTTCAGCTTTACCAAGCTGGTTTCCATCATTCGTACACTCTTTTGACCAGGCATCATTCTCCAACATGGGGAGCGAAGGAAGCCACAACACACAGAATGACACCCCTCATGCACCTAGTGCGAAGCAACAAAAGAAGAAAGGAAAGAGGGTTGATCTTCAAGCTAAAGTCAATGAGCTAGAAGCTCAGAACAACAAGGTAGCAATGAAGAATGAGGTCCTCCATGAGCAGTATGAGAAGCTCCACAAAACTAGGTGTACTTAAACACGCGAGCTCGTTGCCCCTGTGGACATTAACCATCATCTGGATGCCCCCCAACACGGAGGGTCGCCTCCCTTTGACATGGGTATCCCTGATGAAGAGCGAGCTAATCATCAAAACATTGATCAACATAAGACTTCTCTCAACCCAGATGCTCCGACCCGAAATAGAAGAAGTGGAGGAAGACACCTCATTGCAGAAGGGTTGGAAGGATCGAAAGCCGTTTATCGTGACTGCTAAGACCTCCTAAAGCAACGTCGAGAAAATCCCCTCCACATATGCTCGAAGATCAATGACCCAAGGGTTTCTGAAAGACTCAATCCCCTCCCACGACCCAGGCCAGCTGCCAATCTAGGGAACGAACGACAGATCTCAAAGGAACATGAAGGTACGGGGGACTCTAAGGTATTTTGACAGACTCGCCCTAGAAGTCAATACAGCGAGTCCAAGAAAAAACCACACGCCTTTGCTCAAACTTTCCTACTTCCAAGAGGCGATGGAGACTTACGAAAGAAAATTCCAATGGTACATGACTCCACTCAGGACCCCCTTATCCTACAGCTCATTGAGGAAGGAAACAAGTTGAAGGCCGAATGTCAGGCCGAGATACCTGACTGGAACCAACCCAGGCTTGACCCTCTCACAAGAAGGATCATCGACACCCCTTTCAAGCGAAGACAAAACAAAAGCTTCGTTTACAACTCTATACTGGAAGGGATGACCTAATTGAACACCTTAACCTCTTTGAGTCCACCATGGCATATCGGATACACACCGACGAAGAGCGATGTCTTCTCTTCCTCTCCACCCTCTCTGGCGGAGCTCTAAACTGGTATTGCCCTCTTCTACCTGAGACAGTAGACTCATTTGAGGAATTGAGGAAACTGTTTATCTCTTAACACATCTTCCAAACCGATCACTTGCATTTTGCAAATGACTTGTACACTATTCGCCAGAAGCCAGACGTGTCACTACGAGAGTATGCCAGTCATTTCAGCCATGAGTATTCTCACTGCGCTGAGGCATATGACAAGACCGCCCTCAAGGCCTTCACGGCAGGCCTACGTGATTATTTCTTCAAGTACATGATCAAGGCCATCACTTGGAAGACTTACTCTGAAGTGATAACACAGGCTTACAACCACGCCTCCGCCGAAGCAAGGACATACCAAGGGAACCCCCATATGGTTAACCCCTATCAACAAATGGGAAGTGGAAGTCAAGTTCTACCAAGTGAGGAGATATTGGCCATTCAAACACCCATTGCATCATCTTCTACCTCATCTAGCTACTCGCTAAGTCACCAAACGTATATGTCTCTTGGTAAGAGGAAGGATTTTTACTCTCAGCAAGCCCATTACAACAAGAGGGATAAAAGTTCATATCAAGACAACCAGGGGTGAACGTACCATCGACTATTATGACTATGGGGCCAAGCCTCACTCTTTCAAAGTGGAGGACTAGGTAATGAAGGAAATGCTATT